TGGCGCAATGACTTATGGGGCTGGCATAGATTTTTTTCCAGGGCTGCTTTGTATCCCCAGTCCGGCCCTGGTAGATGGAGGTAGCACATGTAGATACCTACCTGGGATAGGAACAGAAAAGGAAAAGGCAGAGGGGATGATACCAGCCTATAAAGTGAACCGTTTCAGAGTCCATGGTACCAGGCAGGAAGCTGACTGTATACTCTTTTGGAGTACAGGAGCTCCACTACAATCTATATATCAATATTAAGTCTATATCTACATAAATCTCCCATTTGTTTTTCTTTTTGTGGTATTTCTTCATTTAGAAATAGAATTTTAGCCAATTCCCATAGGTAAGCATCCCTAATCTCATTGCAGCAACTTATTACCTTGTTTTTCCTTTGGGTGGAATCTGCTATAGATGTATCCACAATATAGATAGATATATAAAGTGGACAAGTTACTATTTAAAAAATTAAGTAACGAGAGATTATATTGGTGACAGTATTATATGCTGGAGGTAAGCTAATATAACCCTTTAATAGTGACATGCTACTGGGAAAATGTTTACAAACTTGCATATGATATTTGTGATAAAGATAAAGCAGTTTTATAAGTCACATTTTGTTACATAAGTCTTGACATGAAGGTTCGCTCTAATTCAATATGCTGAATGTCATCCCTGCTTCAATTTTTTGTACATCATTGTTGGAATGGCATTGTGTTCCTCTAAGAAGTTTCTAAAAGTTTATTTATGTGTTGGCCTCTTCTGCAAAAAGTCCATCACTTGCATACACTGATAGTTTGGCAAAATAGTATTAATTTCTAAGATTTTTTTTAAAATTCATAGCATGACCTCTAAAGTGTTTATTGAGAAAACTGGAAATCGTAGTTAACAGTTTTGCAATTGTGTTTTTAATTCACTACAATATTTATTATATTGAATTGAAAACACAATTGCAAAATGAAGTCCTTAATAGCTTTGTAATTTCTGTTTTCAATGTAGCATTCTTGAATTGAGGACTGCTTTAAAATGCTGAAATTGTCTGACACAGGCTCTCTCCTTACATTTATTTTTTATATACATACACTGGTCTATGTGAATTGTTGTGAATTAAAAACCAAATATGGTTGGTTTATGCACTTGATTTAAAAAAATTTTTTTTTAATTCTTTATTTAACAGTTAACATCGACATGACAAGTAGATGTGCATATGACACAAGCACCTCGGTGACGTACATCATTTTTAGATATTATGCAAAAGAGAAACCCTGGATATCAGCGTGTGTATTCGATATTTCCTCCCCTGCTTTCCACTGTGCCATGTGTCGAGTCTTCAAATGAAATGTGAGTCCATTAGGCTCATATTCATTCCCTGCCCATGTCGATGCCAGATTTTACATTAAACATAACTCAAACAGAACAGACTAGTAAAAGAAAACAGGAAATATCTCCACCCCCCTTGTCTCTATCTACTTCGCTGCCCCTGGTCCACAGGTCCGCTATCCTCGACTTTCCCTCCCGCCGACTCTCCCCGTGTGCCATTCCCTCACTAGGCTACACCCCACTAGAGGTCCCCTCCGTATGTCTACCGTGACCCCTCATTGGTGTTTGTATCTTCTCTCCTTATACCCGATGATGTATCTTTCATTCTATATACTTGAATAGTGTCCCTCCTGTAGGGTCAGCAGGGGTACCTCAAAATCCTCTCGCCTTTGGACACAAAGCAATCAAGCAATTGTTGCAGTGGAGACAGAAAGAGAGATAAGTGGGGGGGGGGAAGAAGTAGGGAAGGAGGGGGGGCGGAGGGCGCGGAGTGCCACCCTCCCTTCCGCACTCTATCCCCCTAAGGGGGAACTATCCCACGGCTCCCAGATTTTCTGAAAGGCCGTATAGGTATCTCTGATTCTGGCGGTTAAGTCGTCCATGAGGCGCACTTCCTTGAGTCTGGTGAGCACCCCGTGAATCATGGGGGTTGACTGTTTTATCCAATTCGCCGCTATGGCTCTCCTTGCTGCTAATGTGATTTTATGAAGGAGTTTCTGCTCCCTCCGGGTCCACCCCTCTATTGACCTGCTCAGTAAGTAGACCCACGGGTCTAGCTCTGGGGCCCTCGAAAAGACTCGGGTTATCACATCTCTGACTTGTGTCCAGAATTTGCTTACCACTGGACAGTCCCACCACATATGCCTATATGTTCCTTTGGCACCACACCCCCTCCAGTACAAGTCCGTGGGAGTCTTCCTCATGCGGTATAGCTGTACGGGGGTGGGGCACCATCAAAGCATAGTTTTTACTGACTGCTCTTGCATTGTGATGCATACAGAAGAGGTATGATTAGCCTCCGATATTTCTTGCGATTCCACTCCCTCGATTTGTTCCCCTTTCCCATTGCGTTATATATGGGAGATGTCCCCATTCCCTAGTCTCTGTGCAAATATGTTTATAAAGGAGTGTTATCAGTCCCCTAGGCATACGTTCCTGAAGGCATGTGCATTCAAAGAACGTAATTGTCTTTTGTGCCGCTGCTTGAATGTGCGGTTGCTTTGCGTAATCTTTGATTTGTAAATAGCGGAAAAAATCAGCTGGGGTAAGGTGGCCTAGCTGTCGTAAGGTATCGAACGAGATGAAATCTTTGCCCTGAAATAGCTGGCAAATACGTTGGAGCCCTACCCTCTTTAGATTCCAGTAATTCCTAGCTGCCATGCCCGGAGGATATTCTCTGTTGCGTAAGTATGGCATAAGGGGGGAGGGGGCTGAGGCTATGCCGTAATTGTGCGCCGTGGCGTCCCACAGCCAGATAGAATTAAGAATAGCCGGGCACGTGACTCCGATTTGGGGTCTATGTGTCTTGGGCACCCATATAAGAAGCTGTGGGAGGTCTGCCCCCACCATGAGAGACTCTAAATCCACCCATTTCCTCTCCCCTGGGGGTGAGTGCCACATTGCTATCTGTGCTAATTGGCTTGCTAGATAGTAGGAATATAAACTAGGAAGGCCCAAGCCCCCTCTAACGTTCGTCCTATATAAAATGTATCTCGAGATCCTGTGCCGTTTAGAGTTCCAAATGAAGGTCCCTATTGCTCTTTGCAGCGGAAGTAATTGCATTTTGGAAACGTGGATGGGTAGAGTCTGAAAAAGAAAAAGAATCCTCGGCAGTATGTGTGGCGAAACCGACCTCGCCACTGGGCATTGGAGAGGACTGATTGCTAGCCTCCTGCCCTGTGACTATGGCCCTCGGATGTATTGCCCTTTAAGAAAATGATTTGGGCATAAGGGATTTGTGTTGTGCTGCTGCTGGCCCTTTAACAACCATCTGGGGACATACTGTGGAGTTACTGGGTGGCCACCATTTCCTGTATCAGAAGCACATGGTGAGAACAATGGATGGCGGCCATTTTAACTCACAGACACTATTTGGACTTTTCAACACGGTGCCATCTTGCCAGTATTTCGTGCACAGAGACATCGTGCAGTGGTTTTGGACTATACAGCAGGGGACACATACAGTGATTGTTTTTCATTTAGCCTGTATATGTTCTGCAGAATCTGCATTAAACTGTATCTTCCAAAGTACTGAACGGATCTGGGTGAATTTCGGATATGTGGTTCACCCAGATCCCCCGGTTCTAAGGATATACTTAGAGGGGTTATTGCATGTTTTGGGGTCCCTGTGATGTGTTTTATGAAACTGTATTTCTCTGTCTGTGATAATTAGATTACCCATTGTGTAAGGTAATTGTATTACAGGCAGAGGGGAGGATTTTGTGTGGGAGTGTCTGTGTGTATTGTACAGATTGATTGGTTGTTCTGTAAAACCCTGTGGGCAGTACTAAGTTTGTGGATTGGGAATAAAAGAGGCTGTATGTGCCAGCACAGGAGTTCCTGTTTAACCCTCAAAGTGAAGTGTCGTCTCATTATTGGGGGAAGGATTTATTGTATGCTGTTCCAGTTTGACTGCTAGGAGAGTAAACCTATTCGTATGGTTCCTATTCAACTGTCTACAGCATTCATATGCTTGAGAGAATTTATTTGTTTCTCCGGTTCGGTGATTGTGGTGTCTGCCAGAGTGCTTGGAGTCCTCAGGAAGCGCTAGGAGCATCCTTCAACGGAGGTACCCAGTCGGGGTGCCAGGCGATCCGTTACAGTATGTTCATTTTTACTGCGTGGATTCGCCCTATCCAAGAAATAGGTCTATCCGACCACGTCTCCAGCTCCTTAATGAGCTTCTTAATCAGTGGTGTGTAGTTTTGGCTATATAGCTGTGTTGGATGTGCCGTTAGGCGTATCCCAAATATTTAAGCGATTGGTGCACTACAGTTAGGCCATATGTATTGCATATGGTAGCCACCTTGTCCCCAGGGATGTTAATCGGCAGGGCACTGGATTTCACCATATTGGCCCTATATCCTGCTATCTGTAGGTACTCCTGCAGTACATTTCAGAGGGCCCTCAGTGAGTTCAAGAGGCAGGTGACCGTCAAGAGCACGTCATCCGCATAGGCCGATACCAGAAACTCTCTCCCTCCCGCTTTCACTCCCCTAACATCTGGGTGTTTCCTCAATGCCTGGAGCAGAGGCTCCAGAGACAGTACAAACAGCAATGGGAAGATGGGGGCTGCCTCGTACCATTGTGAAGCTTAAATGGCCGGAGCGGGGCACCCGTTATTTTTACCTGGGCATGTACATTAGCATACAGAGCTTTTATTGACGTTAAAGATTGCTCAGGGAATCCTAAGTGGGAGAGGAGCGTGAATAAATACGGCCATTGGACTCTATCAAATGCTTTTTCAGCATCGAGTGAGAGCAATAGTGTCGGGGTATTAGTGGTTGCCTGTTTCCATATTGTGGGGATATTTATGGGATAATAATAGTAAACAGTGAGAATTGCCCACTAATTCAATTCTCAGATCCCAAAGATCGTTATCGTGTAATTGAAAAGTATTTCATATAAATAAAATCACAATTTTTTATAAAAATAGATTTATTTTATAATAACTAATTAATATGTAACATGCGTGACAATAATCAGCTAGTATTTAGTACAACATAGTATACAATGCAATGGAATGGGTATATACGTTTCAATGGCTAAACAGCATTTTCTGTCAAGACTTACACGATTTATGAGGTATCCTTACACAGAGAGAAAGAAAAAGTTTCACGCAGAGAACAGAATTCTTCAGAGTGCAGCGTAAGGTCGTAAAGTTTAGCTGACAGTAAGAATAACCCTTTCAATGCTGGCTAGACCTCCTAGGTAATTAAGATCTATTCTTATGTAATTTTAAATAAAATAACATTTAAACCAGTTCATTAGTCATTTCCTGGAACCATCCAATAAGAGAATCTACCATGTTTTTTTTTACAAAAGCCGAATTTAATTTGTCTAAAAGATATCTTATCTTATATTATAGCAAATCAATACACCTGGATAAAAACAGCGGCATGCTAACATGTGATACTATCACCTTAATATATAATTATTCTTAATTCCACTAGCAGAATGGAATGTTTATAACTATATATTCTTTAGTTAACTAAGATTTCTTAATATGGAAATCCGACCGTGATTTATCCAGTCATATATCATGCTATTAGTAAATTTAAATTAATTTAAATTAATTAAATAAAACCAGTATAATTACCAGTTGAGTAGATATTTCATCCGATTGGTAGATAGTCTCAGGAACTTATTTGGATGTCTCTCTGCATGGAGGTGTGTAGGAATTTCTGAGTGTCCTAGAGTGGATATCTGTCATAGGCCTCTCTGCATTTCTCCCGACTGTTCACTTCTTTGCTTCCTTTGTATACCCTTGTATTCCTCGCCTCCTCTCTCCTCTTTTCTCTTCCCCTTGTCTTAACTTTTTAAAGGGAAAATTCACTAGTTGATAGACCAATAGAAACACTGGAGGTGTGGTTATCTTCCAGATAGCAATTTAGTATTTGGTCTATAGAGAGCAGTCTTGTCCCACTAAACATACCTATCCAGGAAAGAGTTAACTTTTCTTGGTGGCTATTTTGACGTCATTTTGCTTTATCTTTATAGTTGCCATAACTTGTGTTTTCTCTTAGTTTTGTCCAGACTTAGTGTCCGCAATTCCTGCTATAATTTCTAATATGACAGTTCGTAAACTAAGTTTCACCTTAAACTACAATGGGAGGTTATACAATATAAAAAGTAAAATTAAATTAATCTTCTCTGTCACAAATGTCTGGGTTTAGAATTGATTATATTCCATTAGCATTTAGACAGTCTGTCCAACCCCCGTTCTCCTTATCACTTGGTTTGTATATACTATGCATTCCTTTAGCTCTAGGAAAGTGGTTAGTTTTACAGATAGAAATCTTGTGTCTTTTGTTAGCTTGAAAATAACAAAATGGAGTCTGCTCTGTTTAAAGTGACTCAGCATATACACTTTTAATTTCTATCATAGCACAAGATGTCTGCCGATAGATTTGTATGGGATAAACAGTAGGTGTATAGGGAGTCTGACAAGCAGGTAGCTTGGTCAGACCCGATAGTCATGAGGCAGCTAGTAGTACCATAGCGGTACCGATCTGAATTACTCCGGATAGCGCACGATATTCCGCTATCCGGACATTTGGGGGTCAGTCACACCCGGCACCAACTGACCCAAAGTTTCTTTTGGCCGGGAGTTAGCCAGGAAGTTCGTTGTAGGGAAGAGGGGGGACCGGTGAAATGCAAAACTGCACCCGCTACCCATAATTGAGGAACCATTCAGTAGAGTAGCTGTAGATTTAATAGGCCCCCTTCAGAGACCAAGCCCTTCTGGTAAAAAGTATATTTTAACGGTAGTAGACAATGCCACCAGATATCCAGAGGCGGTGGCTTTGACTAATATCTATGCAGAAACAGTGGCTGAAGCCCTGATGCAGATTTTCTCCAGGATGGGGTTACCCAGGGAGATCATCTCGAATCAGGGTACCCAGTTCACTACGGAAGTTACCCAGCACCTCTGGAAATTCTGTGGCATCAAGCCTATAATCAGTGCTCCATACCATCCCCAGACCAATGGGCTATGTGAGCAGTTCAACGGAACATTGAAACAAATGCTCCGAACCTTCACAGACACCCATAGGGACTGGGAGCGATTCCTGCCCCATCTCCTATTCGCTTACCGGGAGGTACCGCAGGAATCGACCGGGTTTTCTCCATTTGAATTATTATTCGGGAGGAGGGTAAGAGGACCCCTTGACCTGATTAGGGAGCACTGGGAAGAAGACCGGAGCACAGACGGTAACCCCATCATACCATATGTACTGGCGTTCCGAGATCGTCTGGAAGCATTGACTAGGTCGGTAAGGGAGAACCTCCAGGCAGCTCAGACTCGCCAGTGCACATGGTATGATCAGGGCACCAGTGATGCTTCCAGATTGGGCAGAAAGTTTTAATTTTAAAACCTGTCCGACATAAGTTACAGGCCGCCTTGGAGGGCCCTTATAAAGTGGTGGAACAAAGATGTGACACCACTTATATAATTGGACCCTGTGCAGGAACTGGAGGGCGACGCATGATTCATGTGAACATGATGAAGCCCTACCAGGAACGTTCAGAGGAGGTGACAGCCATTTGTGCCCCCTCCTCTGAGGAGTTCGACAGCCTTCCCCTCCCAGATCTGCTGGGGGGCGGTCGGCTGTCCGAGCATCTAGGTTACGCTGGGAGATTGCCCACAGGAGCGTACCGAGGTACAACAATTACTAAAGAAGAAACAAGATACCTTCTCCAATATACCTGGGTACACCCCTCTGGCCACTCACCGGGTAGAAACCCCAGGGCAACTTCCCATGCGCCAGACGCCTTACCGCATCCCTGAAGCAGTAAGGGAGAACATGCGCAAGGAGATCGAGATCATCACTGGGGGTGATTGAGCAGTCAGACAGCCCATGGGCCTCCCCTGTAGTCCTCGTACCTAAGTGGAGTGGTACGACCCGCTTCTGCATGGACTACCGGAGGTTAAACGAAAAGACAGTCTCTGACGCATACCCTATGCCCCGGATAGATGAACTGTTAGACCGGATGCCCAGGGGCCAATACCTCACACGACCATTGGCAGATTCCCTTGGCCCCGGACGCCATCCCTAAGTCCACCTTTGTCACCCATTCGGCTTATACCAATTTAAGGTGATGCCGTTTGGGATGAAAAATTCCAGAGGATGGTGGACCGACTCCTAGATGGGTTCCAAGATTACACCTGTGCTTATTTAGATGACATTGCTATCTTTAGCAATACTTGGCAGGAACATCTGGCCCACATAGAAGCAGTACTAGATAGAATCTGGGAAGCAGGATTAACCTTGAAACTTGCTAAATGCAGTATAGATATGGCTGAGGTACAGTACCTCGGACATCGAATAGGTTGCGGGAAGAAGAAGCCTGAACCCGCAAAGGTAGAGGCCGTGGCTCAATGGCCAACCCCCAGGACAAAGACCCAAGTACTCGCTTTTCTAGGGACAGCCGGGTATTACAGGAAGTTTGTGCCCAATCATAGCGCCCTGGCCAAACCTCTTACTGACCTTCCCCGCAAAAACCTTCCCCGCCAAGTAACCTGGGCCCCGGAGTGTGAGCAGGCATTCCAGCTTTTGAAAAATGTACTTAGCGATGCCCCTGACTTGGTCGCTCCCAATCCAACTAAACGTTTTCTTGTTCACACAGACGCTTCTATGTTTGGATTGGGGAACATCCCGTAGCCTACATCAGGCGGAAACTATTACCTAGAGAAGTGAGCTATGCTGCCATCGAGAAGGAGTGCCTGGCTGTGGTGTGGGCCTTAAAGAAATTACAACCCTATTTGTATGGACAGTCTTTTTCTTTGCTCACAGATCACAACCCGTTGGGTATGGTTAAACCGGGTAGCGGGGGACAATGCCAGAGTTTGGCGCTGCAGCCGTTTGATTTTAACATCCAGGACCGCCCGGGCAAACAAAATGGAAACGCTGACAGGTTTTTGAGACAGACTTGGAGAAATGATCCGTGAGCATCCCTGGACATCACCAAGCCGATCCGTGTAGGATCAGACTGTGGATGCCGGCTTGTGGGCAAGGGGGAGGAGTGTAGCGGATTGTGTTAAGGCTGTCTTTAGGAATTCGTATTGAAAATGTATTTGTGTAATTGTTTCCCTGTATGTCTGTAAAAAGTATGTAGGTTTCGTATGATTGTTCGGTATTTTCATACGAATGAAACTACCGAACCATCATACCACCCCAGTGAGAAGTGTGCACCTCGTTAAGCGTTCACACACTGCAAACCGCAGCTTAATTGATACATTGTATGTGCCTGTGTGGTCACCGTCCGGCATGCGAACCATGTGCGGTGGCCATCTTACGCATGAAAATCTCAACGGTGTTTGGTCGTTGAGTGTCTGGAACTCAAATCGGACACTCAAACAACTGAACACCGCTGAGACCTCCAGAGTTCCATAACTCACGAACGGAGGGACTAGTCAGCCTCTCGTTCGGTAAAATCAATGTCCCGAACAAGGGAATACGAATGGAAGATTAGTTGTGGATGGCAGTTATTTCTATGTGTTTTAACTCCTGAACAGAGACCGACCACAAGGCCAAAACACATGGAGCCTTTTTTGGATACCACCTCGTGTGCGGTCGGTCAAATTACACCCTCCACCTAACTCCCGAACCCCTGGTCCGATCTGGGTGAATTTTGGATATGTTAGTCACCAAGATCAGGGCTACCAGGGGGTACTCAAAGTATTATTATAACTGCTTGTTTTGGGGTACATCCAGAAATCGGGGAAAACTACAGCATGTTTAATGGGATTGTCACACTAAGGGGAGAAGATGTGTGGGAGGTAATTTACATTATTGGTTACTGTCCTAATTATGGTGAATCCCTCCCTTGCATGGGAGAATGCTTTATAAGGAGGTTGTGTGGATTAAAAGTCAGTTCTGCTCCTGATGCTGTGTGTCATCCAGTCATTGGGATCGGTATGGGAATATTCGTGGATTATCTTGCTTGCTGGGATTATTACTCTATGGTATTTTTATTACTTGTTCCTGAGCCTCACTGGGATCTTAAGTGGAGATAACCTGTGTAATAGCAGCTCTCCGCTACAACTATTATTTATATCATGTCATAATTTACTTTAAAAAAAAAAATATACATTTTTTTTTACTTTTGCTTGAAAAATCTTTTACTTACCTACGAAAACTAATGAATAAAACTGCTAAATAGATTCAAAATTGTGTCCTGAGTTTAAAAACACCCAGTGTTTACGTGCCTTTTTTGCAAGTTATAGGGCTATAAGTACAAATAGGAAATTGCGGTTTCAAAATATATATTTTTAAAATATATCAATAGTGACATTGTAACACTATTATCTGTCATAAATCTCTGAATCACACATGTACATTTTTTGTTTTTTTTAAATTAGACAACCCAGGGTATTCAGTATGGGGTATGTCCAGTCTTTTTTAGTAGCAACTTAGTCACAAACACTGGCCAAAGTTAGCGTTCATATTTTTTGTGTGAAAAAGTAAAAACTAAATTGAACGCTAACTTTGGCCAGTGTTTGTGACTAAGTGGCTACTAAAAAAGACTGGACATACCCCATTTACAATACCTTGTATTGTCTTCTTTTGCAAATGGAATGCCATCATGGGGGTAATTCTCATTCCTGGGCTACCATACGCTCTCAAAGGCAACATAACCAACCTGGCAATTTTCAATGTAAAAATATTTGACCCTGTAACTTTCAAAAACGCTATAACCTACATGGGGGGTACGGTTATACTCGGGAGACTTTGCCGAACACATATTAGTGTTTTAAAACAGTAAAACGTATCACAACAATATCATCAGTAAAAGTGCTGTTTGTGTGTGAAAAATTCAAAAAAGTCAATTTCACTGACAATATCATCGTTGTGATATGTTTTACTGTTTTGAATCACTAATATTAGTGTTCAGCGAAGTCTCCTGATTAAAACAGTACCCCCATGTACAGGTTTTAGGGTATCAAAAAATTACAGGGTAAAATACAGTGCTAGCAAATTAAATTCTCTGGACTTTCAACCTGGCTTGTCAGGCAGGTCCCTCAAATTGCAATAAATAAAATTACTTAATTGTGTAAAAATATTTAAAAAATACGCACGTAGAACTTAAATATATATGCATATTTATATATTTGACGTCTATGTGTATATTTATATAATTTATGTAATTTTGCATATGGACATATGTATATTTCTGATTATTTTTATTTATATATACATAGATATCATTTAATTCTAAGTGTATTTTGAGATATATATATTAATATCAAAATAGTTAGAATAAAATTTCATATAGATATAATTTGAAAAATGTTATTTTTTAATTTTTTAATTTACTTATTTGTATTTTATAATATATAGACAATATATAATTATATATACACACACACGTGTGTAATTTAATTATAAGTGTATTTTTATATTAATATATATATTAATATAAAAATACACTTAGTATGACATGATATATAGATATAGACATATAGAGAGAGATTATATATATATACCCAAAAATAAATAGGCAAGGCACTCCTTTACTATCTGAGAAATGTATATAAGTGCCTAGGTGCAATCCCGCGTGATGTATATAAGCAAAAAAGGATCAAGGGAGCACAATAGGTCTTCAATTTAGTGAGGCAAAGTTATTTAATGTATCATAAAAAATACATAGGCTGTGAAATACACGAAAATCAACGTTTCGACCCTCCTGGGGTCTTTATCAAGATCACTTTTTTGCCGGTATTTTTTTGGATATATTACTATAGCGACCGGAGCACCAGGTATCATTTTTTCGTTGGTTGGAGTGCAGGAATCTGTTTTTTTTTTTTTTATATAATATATATATATATATATATATATATTATATAAAAAAAAAAAAAAAAAAAAGATTCCTGCACTCCAACCAACGAAAAAATGATACCTGGTGCTCTGGTCGCTATAGTAATATATCCAAAAAAATACCGGCACTCAAGGAGTTACCAATCTTAAATTTTCTTTTATTCCAAGGACGACGTCAACGTTTCAGCTCCCCATGGAGCTTTCATCAGGACACCAACTATACAATACTAAAAAGCTTATATAAGAAGCTATTAGGGGGCGGAGCCAACGGCCGAGCTGCATGGACATGTTTTGCTAGCTCTCCCAAAAAGCCACCAGCTAATCCGTCCACATCGAGCTGAAAATAAATGATGGGTCACCCCAAAAGATGCCAAACCCCTCAACACCAAACGGGGAAGCCCCCGACGAACAAACACGGCGCACTGACCAAATTCTACCGTGATAACACGGAACACCAACACGAGGCCGCGGGCCTGTCCATGACGCCGGAATCCCCTCAGGACGGCTCGGCACCCTCAAGTCCGGAAGGGTCCATGAGATCCACAAATCCAGAGGACATGGAGCTCAAGGAGTTTATACGAAACCTACCCACTAAAGATGACATAGCAAACTTGGCAAGATGGAAGCCTCCTTCAAGGCGTGCCTAGACACCATTGGGACTGATGTCCGCAAGGTGAGAGAGAGAGACAGAGACAGAAAGATAGAGATTATATATATATATATAAAAAGATAGAGATAGATATATAGATAGAGATAGATATATAGATAGAGATAGATATATAGATAGAGATAGATATATAGATAGAGATAGATATATAGATAGAGATAGATATATAGATAGAGATAGATATATAGATAGAGATATATCTATATATCTCTATCTCTCTCTATCTATCTATCTATCTATCTATCTATCTATCTATATATATATATATATATATATATATATATATATATATATATATATATATATATATATATATATATATATATATATCTCTATAAAGATATAGATATATCTCTCTCTCTCAAAATATTTTTTAACATTTTTATTTTACACATGCAGGGAGACTGCCTGTCAGCACAGACAGTCCCCCTGCAGGCAGACACTAGGACACCTATTGTGACCATGTGACCGCTTTAATTCGCTGCGGGGAGACTGCCTGGGCTGCAGGTAGTCTCCCCACACCGGGAGCACCACCGGCGCTCTGGTAAGCACATATTAACGTCACCGGTCGCCAACGGTAAAATACCGATGACTGTCCTGAACAGTCCACGGTCGCGAAGGGGTTAAGCACGTTGTTTCTTTACAGTTTCTTTTTCTAGGAAAATAGGAGAGCCCATAGAGTGCTACAGCTGCTATTGATAATAAAATCATTTATATTCATTAAGCGCCAGAGTTTCACACATCAAAACGGCACCCTTGGTGAAAAATACAGTTTGAGACAATTGCTTATCAACCGACGCAACAAGCCCACTAAACACACTTTGAAGTTATAAAAATGCATTTATTATTTTATGTAGTAAAGCAGAGCATGTGTAAAGTGCAACACATAATATACTGACTAGAAAATCTCTTTCTGACTAATGCAATTATCAGATGTAATCGTTACATTTAGATTTTATATATACACTATTTTTGCATAAGCTAAACAGCCACACAGTCAGTGTATAGTTTTGATAAAAAGAGACATTTATTTCCGAAGATGTTCATTTCAGCCATAAAGATGCACCAGTTTGCAATTGTCTCCCGTTACTGACTTTTTATGTTAAGCTGAAATAAAACAGAAAAGGGAGATTTAGAATTATTCAGTTCAAGTCTTAGTTTAGCTACAAGTAGTAACATTATCTGTTGTGCAGAAAAACAAATACTAAAAAAATAAAGAAAATACACGACTGCTTTGTAAATGGATAACAGGCATAATATGGCGGCTATCAGTTTACACACAGTCCATGGGTTCACTGTTTAGGAAACCAGGCTAAAACCAGATACTGGCAGAGCTGCAGTCTGCAGCTCTGCTCTGTCTCTCTACCAATGAGAAAGATCAGTGGGAGCACCCACAAGGTATAGAAAATTAACAGAAGCAACCCTGGAGCTTAGCTTAGAGCTGCCTTATCATAGGGAGGGGGAGGAGAGAGAATACAAAGCTGCAATAATGCTTAAAAATGACCATTTAACAACAACAACTTACTACAGGTGCTACGCAGCATAATTTGCACTAAAGTCGCAAATGTTACTTTATTGCATATAATATTTTTAATACAAATATATATTGCATTTGGTTTAGGCATCATGTCACCAGTGAGCTATAACTTGCATTAGATCTGATAGTGGTACTAATCTATTGGCAAACTATTAAAGGCTAACTGTAATTTCTCTGGAAATTACATCGCTGAATAAACATTAGATTCACTCATTTTTTTTCTTTATTCCATGAGATCGGTTTTCCTTTAAATTTGTATTAGTGATTTAGCAAATTATATCATAATCCAGGTTAGGTAAAGCGTTCCACTGTAAATGAGGAGAAAACACTGTTAAATGTATTCTCTTCTCTGAATGCTTTTTCTATGCTCACTGCCTGGTGTAAAGGACAGAACGTAAAATGACTGACATGAGCGCTAAGAATGAGATTACTATTTGTGGAAAGAGTTCTGGATTTCTACATTTAATGTTCACAGCTCATCAATACATATTTGTTATTAATGTAACAGTTAAACATTTTACAGCACCTGTCAATAAGAGAATCTCTCATGTTTGTAGCAATGGTACTAGGCTGTGCATCATTTAGTTTGAACACACTTTCTATTACAGAGAGTTCTGTGCTTGTTGTATCCAGGCCACAAAAAGCACACCAATCATTAACAACCATTCCAGCTGCAATCACTTCACTGCCGCGGTTTACAGTTCCAGCCTGGAGGGGGGGGAGGGGAGGGAGAAAGTCATTTTAGTTGTGTTTTGCAGTTTGAAGGTATATACACATTTTGACAGATATGGGTAGGCACCATGGACTACATCTCCCCTGATGTTTTGACAGCAGTATGACTAAGAGCAATAAGGGAAATGTAGTCCACAACATCTGGAGCTCCCAAGATTGCCTACTCTGCGATAAGAGATTGGTACTTTCATGCGCAATCCTGTGGCATTATTTAACCCCTTAAGGACACATGACATGTCATGATTCCATTTTATTCCAGTAGTTTTGTCCTTAAGAGTTTAAAAGCCTGCACCAGGTCTTCTCTTCCAGTTGGCTCTTGAATTTGTATATATTTTTATGTGTAGCTTACAGTTGGAAGGGATTTCAAAAAGACAATTCTCTGCCTTTGCTTCGTTACAAGTAGAAATGTAGTAGTAAAAACATTCCTGCACTGCCCCACAGTAGTCCAATAATCTTAAAAATGTAGCCCTTGGGTGCTTCCTTTCTGAGATATCTAGATCAGACATTCACCTTGAGTGAAAGATCTATCCATTTAGATCCTATTTGTACAAGCCTCCATTTCTGATTTTGCTAATGCAGAGAGCATCGGACGACTCAGGCAAATAATACATCTAAACATGGGTGGAATTAATAATATGGTGGTAGGAACTTCTGCATTAGCAGATTCAGAAATTGAGCCCACAATGTAGGCACTCAGAAAAACAAAACAAAAACAAAAAAAACAAAAAACCATTTGCCAAGTCATTTGAGCACGGTTTGACTACTAAACGTGAGACAGCACCAGGAAACTCATGGCACCATAACCACTAGAATGGACTCTAGAGGCTACAGTGTCAAGACTACCTCTAAGTTTTATTTATACATTTTTTTTATATATAAAATATTTTACCAGGAAGGACACATTGAGATTTCTCTCGTTTTCAAGTATGTCCTGGGTCCACAAAACATTGCATTGATACATTAGAATACAAAAACAATACACATTGTATACAAAGTTTAACCCCTTAAGGACACAACTTCTGGAATAAAAGGGAATCATGATGGAATATTTCCGTCATCTGTCCTTAAGGGGTTAACATGGTAGAACAGGTAGGAAATATATAATCAACCATGACAGGTGCATGATGTTTTGAGATATGTAGAGATGGATCTCTTAAAGGACTTTAGACACAAATTAGATATTAAAGTGCATGACTAACGTTATTGGTGTCACTTTCCATTGAATATTACAACTATAAAATGGTATAGCATATCAATAGCTGAAAATGTGTTTTATGGTAGATTTCCTGACTGTCCATATGCCATTTGACAGACCTGGTGTTCAGGAAATTTTCCAAGATATTTTACAGCAAATCAGAATACTGTGCACCTACATAAAAGTAAATCAGCCATTCTCACATTGTGAAAGACATGTTTTGCAAATTTACAACCATCTTACACAAATCTTACCACTAAGGGAACTTGTAGAAGAGAAGATAACTCATCCTGATCTTCAATAGAGGTCTTAGGATGTACTAAACCACCTTGATTACTGATTGCACAGTAACTTCCAACGAGAACCTGTTCAGCTACCGTTTGTCTAAATACTTCCACTTTAAGGACATCTGCCAAGATCTCTTCTGTTTCCTGCAATATATTACAGGTTAATAAGAAAAAAAGAATTGCAGAAAGGAAATATTTACATTTTACCAAGAACACGCATCTAGTGGTTCTTACTTCCTCAAAGACCTTCAATTTGCAAATGTCAAAAGATGTTGAATGTTTTTGGTTTTTTATAACAAAAAGGGTTCAGTAAAAAAAGAGAAACATTATGGTTAAAAATATTAATGTTTAATGCTTGAGTGTTTTAAAGTTGAAACATTTGCAAGTGGACGAATGTATGCAATGCAAATAACATGTGATGGTGTGCTATAATTAATGACACAAAACCTATTAAGAAAAAAAATATTAAAGTATCACTATAGTGTCAGGAAAACAAAGCTGTTTTCCTGACACTATAGTGCCTTGAGGGTGCGCCCCCACCCTCAGGGTCCCCCTCCCGTGGCGCTGAAGGGGTTAAAACCCATTTAGCCACTTACATTAACCCAGCGCCGGGCTCCCTCGACGCTGGTGACCTCTCCTCCCCGTCTGACGTCAGCCGAATGCGCATGTGCGGCAAGGGCCGCGCGTGCATTCCAAGTGTCCATAGGAAAGCATTTCTCAATGCTTTCCTATGGACGCTCTGCACGATAGAGGCGAAATTCGCCTCCTGCGTCGCAGATGCGCCTCTAGTAGCTGTCCGGAAGACAGCCACTAGAGGCTGAATTAACCCCAAATGTAAACATAGCAGTTTCTCTGAAACTTTTATGTTTACATGTGAAGGGTTAAAACCTGAGGGACCTGACACCCAGACCACTTCATTGAGCTGAAGTGGTCTGGGTGACTTTAGTGTTCCTTAAAATTTAAAACCAAAAGCCATTGGAAAAAGGATAACTGAAGTCACCAAGACCACTTCATATCAATGATGTAATCTTGGGGCACTGTTCCTGTAGTTTTAACCCTGCAGAAACAAAAACCTGAACACGCTTTTAGTGGCTGCTAAAATGCTGTTATGTGATATTGCAGCTCATATGAAAGCATTGATTCAATACTTTCCTATGAGAAGCATCAGGTCCCAATGTTCCTCTCTGATGACCATTTCATTGGCATTGATGATGTCACAAGAGACGGTGTTCAGTAGTGCCAAGAGACTCTCAGTGCTAGAAAAGGTTCATTAGAAACCTTTTTTTTTTTTTTTTTTTTACATATTTACTGCAAAAGGAAGGAGAAAGACGGGGCAACTATGACACTATTGTGTTAATAAGACAAGTTTTTATTCCCAATACTATAGCAGTGTTAGGCAACCTTCAACACCGTGGATGTTGAGGATGATATCTCCCCTGATGCTTTGCCAGCATTATGGCAGTAAGAACATCACAGGAAATGTAGTGCCAAATGTTGCCTCTCTATATTAATGTGTTATATATACTTTATAAAATAAAGTGGGAATTGTATACTTGGAATATGAATATGGGTATACTACACAATTTTATATATGGTTCTCTCTCTCATTTACTTTAAGAAGCACTTGACAAAAACATCTAACGCATTCTTGAGGGAGACATCCCAATCAGGTTTGTTAAACACCTACAGTCAACAGTTTATTAAGAAGGTGGAAACTTTATGCACAGCACTATCTTTGAGAGTCTTACAAACAAAAGATATACAGTACCCTGTCGAGATCTGGGTGAACAAGGGCGACGTAGTCATTGCACACTATGACATTTCCTAAGGCAGATAGACGCTCCTCCACTCTCTGGATTCGTACAGAGTCTGGCAGACTGTTTCTAATATGTTGAAGCTCTTGATCAGTTGTATTATTAGGAACTAACAGGCCATTGCGATTACCTAGAATAAAGAGGCATTATTACAAAAGTAATTTGCCAAACCACAATTTTAAATTAAAAATATTTTTTACAAATTGTGTGGGCTCTGAGTATCGAGAAAAGTCAACAACAGAAGCCCATTTTGTCAACCCTGGGTTTTATTAGAAGACAAAGTAGTGTCTACTTTGTCTTCAATTTTCTTTTGATTGTGTTGGAATTTCAATGAAAATGTCAACCCACTCAACATGAGATGATCACTTATTGATCCAATACTCAGAAAGTGACAAAGCTGCTTCAAAATATTTGATAATGAGCTTATCTCTAGTTTAGCAAGCTAGTGGAAGCAATTTTACGCAGCACTTCAAGGGTTACCCCATGCAGCTCCAAAAACAGAAGTGGATTCCTAGATGAGAGAAAAATACAAAAGAGGGATTTTGGTGTGGTGTATTTATCAATGCTGAATTGACAATACATTATAATCACTTATACAAAACACATATTAGCGAGCAACAGAAATACGATGTGGTTTAAATGCTAGTTAAGAGAACTCACCAACACACATCCTCCCAATAATTCTGCACCCGGCAATTGAGGCATGGACTACTGGTATGGTTTCAGAAAGTTCACCTTCAAACACACTAAAAAGGCAGATACTTAGAATTAAAATGAGAACGCCACATCTGAAATAGTTAACACTACAAAATGAAAACACATATGAAATACCAGCGAAAACAATAAGCTACATGAATACCATATTTTTTTCTTTTTTTTTAAACAAAACTGCACATAGCAAATTATTACCACTATTACAAATATAGTAGTAATTGTGTTGTAGTGGTTATAGTTTCTGGAGTCCCCAGGTGCCGTCCTTCAGTGCTGTATAAATTTTTTTTATTTTTTTTTAATAGTTTCTTGCAAGATAAGTTAAGTTCTTGGAAAAATGGCAGGGGTTGGGAGCTACAGTATTCCTGGCACTACAGTATCCCTTTAAAATAATTGCAATCTGTTCTGGTTGAAACCTATCATGTCATTACAAAGTTCTCTGACTTAAAGGATCACTATAGGGTCAGTAACACAAACATGTATTCCTGACCCTATAGTGTTAAAACCACCATCTAGTCCCCCTTGCCTCCATAAATATAGTAAAAATCTTACTGTATTCAAGCCTGAAGCTGTAACTCTGCATGCTGTTAAACTCAAAAGATCAGGGGCAAACACTGCTTTTTTTCTGAAAAGAAAGTGTTTACAGCAAAAAGCCTGAAGGTAATGATTCCACTCACCAGAACAAATTCAATAAGCTGTAGTTCTGGTGACTATAGTGTCCCTTTAAACCCCTTAACGCTGTTACGGCATTCTATGCCGTCCCCATTATAATGGGCTTTAAAGCCTTTGCGGCGGCATAGAAGGCCATAACTGCTTTCTACCCCAGGAGCCTCCTTATACTCACCTTCCCGGCGATCAGCTTCGGGAGGACTGCCTGATGTCCCAGACAGCCCTCCCCCGGCAAATCAGGCCCCCCAAGAGCCATGCGATCACTCTCAAAGAGAGCTCACATGGCCCCCTATAGCTGGCTGTGGATCTGACAGCAAGGGGATTGTCTGGGCTGTCAGACATTCCCCCTGCTGGTGGGTAGTATAAGAAAATAATGACATGTTAAAAATAAATTAAAATGATATCGAGAGAGAGATATATATATATACATATATATATACATATATACACACACACACACACACACATATATATACATATATATATATATACACATATACATATATATATACACACACACACACATATACATATATATACATACACACATACACACACATATATATACACACACACACGTAATGTCATACGTAGTGTATTTTAATGTTAATATAATTACATATAGTATTAAAATACACTTAGAATGAAGATATATATTATATATACACAATTACAATAATAAAATTAAATATATAAAAATAAAAAACAGAATGAAATTACATACATATAATTACATACATATATCGAGATCGAGAGAGAGATATCGAGACCGAGAGAGAGAGAGAGAGATATATCGAGAGAGAGAGAGAGAGAGATATATCGAGAGAGAGAGAGAGAGAGATATATCGAGGAGAGAGAGAGAGAGAGAGAGAGATATATCGAGAGAGAGAGAGAGAGATATATCGAGAGAGAGAGATCGAGAGAGAGAGAGAGAGATACTGAGAGAGTAGTAGATATCGCAGAAAGAGAGAGAGAGATATCGGTATAGGAGCATCGCAGAGAGAGAGAGAGATATCGAGAGAGAGAGAGAGCACGAGAGAGAGAGAGAGAGATATCGGTAGAGATATCGAGAGAGAGAGAGAGAGAGAGAGAGAGAGATCGAGAGAGAGAGATCGAGAGAGAGAGATCGAGAGAGAGAGAGATATCGAGAGAGAGAGAGAGATATCGAGAGAGAGAGAGAGATATCGAGAGAGAGAGAGAGATATCGAGAGAGAGAGAGATATCGAGAGAGAGAGAGATATCGAGAGAGAGAGAGATATCGAGAGAGAGAGATATATCGAGAGAGAGAGAGATATCGAGAGAGAGAGAGATATCGAGAGAGAGAGAGAGATATCGAGAGAGATATCGAGAGAGAGAGAGAGATATCGAGAGAACCCTGTAACTTTCCAAGACACCATAAAACCTGTACATGGGGGGTACTGTTTTACTCAATATACTTTGATCACAAATATTAGTGTTTCAAAATGATAAATTGTATTTCAACGATGATATTTTCATTAAAAGTGTAGTTTTTTGCATTTTTCGAACTGCACTTTTACTGACAATATTGTTATAATATGTTTTACTGTTTTGAAACACTAATATTTGTGTTCAGTGAAGACTCCCAAGTATAACAGTACCCCCCATGTACAGGTTTTATTGTGTTTGGGAAAGTTAGAGTCTCAAATATACGGTTGCATTTCATTTTTTTTCCCCACATTGAAATGTGCCAGTTTGGTAATGTTGCCTTTGAGACCGTATGGTAGCCCAGGAATGAGAATTACCCACATGATGGCATACCATTTGCAAAAGTAGACAACCCAAGGTATTGCAAATGGGGTGTTGTCCAGTCCTTTTTAATAGCCACTTAGTCCCAAAACTGGCCAAATATTTGTTTTCTTGCTTTTTCCACACAAAACCAAATATGAACGCTAACTTTGACCAGTGTTTGTGACTAAGTGGCTACCATAAAAGACATACCCCACTTGCAATACCTTGGGTTGTATACTTTTGCAAATGGTATGCCATCATGGGGATAGTTCTCATTCCTGGGCTACCACACGGTCATAAAAAGTAACATTACTAATCTGGCAAATTTTAATGTGAATAAAATGGAAAATGGAATTGCTATATTTGACCATGTGACTTTCCATTGTAAAATCTGTTAATGGGGGTACTGTTGTACTCGTGAGGCTTTGCTGAATACAAAGCTGTGCATTTTATTGCAGTATTATGACATTTACATAGGGTTAATCCAGCCTCTAGTGTCTGTCTCATTGACAGCCGCTAGAGGCGCTTCCGCACTTCTCACTTTGATTTTCACAGTAAGAAGACACCAGCGTCCATAGGAAAGCATTGAGAAATGCTTTCCTATGGACTGACTGAATCTGCGTGCTTACGCATTCAGCGGATGATGTCGGAAGGGGGAGGAGAGTCCAGGTAAGAATGTATCCCCTTCCTCCCCCTTCAGCCCGGCGGGAGGGGGGGACCCAAAGACCCTATAGTTCCAAGGAAAAAAAGTGTTTTCCTGACACTATAGTGGTCCTTTAACTCCTTAAGGACACATGACATGTCATGATTCCCTTTTATTCCAGAAGTTTGGTCCTTAAGGGGTTAAAGGACCACTATAGTGCCAAGAAAACACTCGTTTTCCTGGCACTATAGGGTCTCTAGGCCCACCCCACCATCAGGGCCCCCCTCCCATCATGCTCTAGGAGGTGGAAACCTAGCCACTTGGACAATATAAAGAGACTGTACCTTTAAGGGTTGCCTGTATGGTTGTGGGATGTGTGTGTGACTAAGTATAATGTATGCTGGCTGTAATTACCTTGTATTTCCTGTATTGGCTATCTGCCAAACGCAGATAGCTGTATTTCATTTCGTTTCACGAACGGCACCTTTGCGGGCCGTTCGTGAACCGAAATAACCACCATGTAATAGCCCACACACTTAGAGACGTGTGGCACTTGTTAACCGATTGCAACAATGTTGCAATCGGTAATTAGAGGCTCTCCTAGATGGCCGCCGTTCGACTACCGACCATGCGGCGGTCGGCCATCTTGGATCCTTTGTTCCCTCAGCGGTGTTTGGTCGTCGAGCGCGTGGTACTAAAAACGGCTACTCGACGGCGTGAACATTGCTGAGCTTCCAGGCCGTTCGGTATTGTATTCCCTATACTTCAAATCGGTCTTTTGAATGTGTGTTTTAATGTGTTTTTCGTGCGGCGTTCGGTTATTTTATCTGAGCGGTAATCTCACGAATGATGCGCTCCGACCCCAGCTATCTACCGAACGTCCATTCGTGCAAATAGACCAAATAGTCGAAGAACTGTACATTTTAAGGAAATTGCCGGTTCTGCTGCACGGAGGGATAATCCACTTAACGGTACATTCAGCGCTTGACTGTGGATTACTTTCTGAACCAGCGGAATTTGTGGAATACTGCCGCTCCGCTACAGGTTAAATCTTAGCTTTTTCCCCCCGCCGGGTTCCCTCGGCGATTGGGGACTCTCCTCCTTTCCCAGTCATCGTCTGAATGCGCATGCGCGCGCATTCAGTTAATAGGAAAGCATTCTCAATGCTTTCCTATGGACGCTGGCATCTTCTCACTGTGAAAATCACAGTGGTCTGGGTGCCTATAGTGTTCCTTTAATTTCTCACAGTTTTTTTTATTTTATTCATAAGTTATGTTTCACATATTAATAGTACATGAGAAATTAAAGCCCTGTTTCTCCTGAACAAAATGATATATAATAAGTTTGGGTGCACTTAATATGAAAGAGGTGAATTACGGTTGAACAGACATTTAGAGCATGTAACGGACCGTTTTGCCCACAAGAGGTTAAAACTCGTTTAGGCGATATGCCCCCTTTTCAGATGCACAGACAGCTACTGCAATCACCACTCTCCCGAGCTGCAAACACACTAATACTGGAAACAGCCGAATAGGAAAAACCATGCGAATAGGTTTACACTCCTAGCAGTCAAACTGGAACAGCATACAATAAATCCTCCCCCAATAATGAGACGACACTTCACTTTGAGGGTTAAGCAGGAACTCTCTGTAATGGCCACACACTGGCTTTAATGCAAGTCCCCATGCAAGGGTGGGACACAGTATAACCAATCGTTACAGGGGAACCGTAAAACACACCCACAATTACATCACAATCCCTCCTCTCTTTCCTGGAGATAATTGTGAAGTAATCAAATTATCTCCAAGGACAGAGGCAAAACCCCATTAACCACATGGCAGACAAAGGACAATAAAAGACATAAAATTACATACATTTACATTTATTCCATAAAACATAGACATTCTACATATCCCCAGATAGCTTAGATCTGAGTGCACATTACTACCGAATGGCGTTCAGATCACATACATACAGTTCAATTGCCATGGAGCCAAAGTCTTTCACACAGTCTTTCAGTATACGGCTGGGCTCCATGGCATAGCTATCTGGGGTAGCATGGCTTTAACAGTCCGCAGAAAGGCATGAATAAACCTTTCGGACGGTAAAATAAAAGTTTAAAATGCAGGACCATAGTCTAAAGGGAGCAGGCGAGCAACCAGGCCTCTCCAGTGGACAGTGGCGAGGTTGGTTCCGCCACAGAGCAAATTCTAGTTTTTGTTTACATGTTTTGATCAGAACGTGTACTATTGACTTCGTCCTGAAAGGGTTAAAGGACCACTATAAGCACCCAGACCACTTCAGCTCAAAGAAGTGGTCTGGGTGCTAGGTCCATCTAGGATTAAAGGGACTCCAGTGCCAGGAAAACAATCCTTTTTCCTGGCACTGCAGGTCCCCACTCCCTCCCACCTTTGGGTTGCCGCCACCGCACCTCCTCTTCATTACGTTGGCCGGTGGGCGAGACTGATCCTGCCCGTGGAGACCTAATGGGCAGCAATGCTGCGCATGCGCATTAGAGCTCTCCATAGGAAAGCATTGAAAATGCTTTTCAAGGTTTTCCAATGGGGAATTGAGCGACGCTGGAGGTCCTCACACAGCGTGAGGACGTCCAGCGATGGTCTAGCACAGGTTTTCAGTGCCATCGACCAGGAAGTGCCCTCTAGTGGCTGTCTAGTAGACAGCCACTAGAGCTGGAGTTAACCCTGCAAGGTAATTATTGCAGTTTATAGGGTAGTGAGAGTTGGCACCCAGACCACTCCAATGGGCAGAGAAACTGCTATGTTTACAAATGGGTTCATCCAGCCTCTAGTGGCTGTCTCACTGACAGCCACTAGAGGCGCTTCTCACTGTGATTTTCACAGTGAGAAGACGCTGCCGTCCATCCGAAAGCATTGAGAAGACGCTGCCGTCCATCCGAAAGCATTGAGAATGCTTTCCAATGGACTGGCCAAATGCGCACGCAGCTCTTGACGCGAATGCGTATTCAGCCGATGACAACCGAAGGAGGAGGAGAGTCCCCAGCGACGAGTGAGCCCGACGCTGGAGAAAGGTAAGATTTTAACCCCCTTCAGCCCAGCGGGAGTGGGACCCTGAGGGTGGGTGCACCATCAGGGCACTATAATGCCAAAAAAACGAGTTTGTTTTACTGGCACTATAACGGTCCTTAAAATAGTTTTGTTTTTTATTTTGTGTTCTTGTGCGATGATAATTGGGATTTTGTTTTATATAAACACAAAAGCTACAATTTTGAGTATGTTTCTTTGTTGAACGGTAAAGCTCTGACAATACAATAGTGAATACAAAATGAGAATTTTAAGGAAAATACATGAATTGTCACTTGGGTGTATCAAACACCCAAGTGACAATTCATGTATTTTCCTTAAAATTCTCATTTTGTATTCACTATTGTATTGTCAGAGCTTTACCATGTAATTTATTCACTAAACTTCAAATTGTAATTAATTAAAATCCAAATGGCAATATTTAGGCCACAATAGCATAATTGGAATAGTCACAAACTTTACTATAGCTACAGCTAGACAGTTTTAACTTGAATGCTGCAATTTGAAATTCAATTTGTAAGAATATTGGAGTTTAGTGATTTTTTTCTTGGGAAAGGACCAAAAAAATTTACACAAAAGCAAGAAAAAAAATACATATTATATATATATATATATATATATATATATATATATATATATATATATACTTGTAGGTGATAATTTTATTAAGTAACAGAGTAATGATCCTAGTTTAAACCACTGTAACTAATTTATGGAGGCACTAGGCAGCCGACTTAACATGTAACTGAACAGTGAAATATAATATTAAGCAAACTTTCAATAATATTGTGATAAGTGTTATAGAGGTAGATAGGCATTTCCCAAAATTCCTCATGTTTTCAATAAGCGATAGGTTTATCTTTTTACCTGTAAAAGTTCTCTGACCCCCCAATGGCTACTAGGCAGTATGTGTTGGTAAGCTTGGCGAAACATCCAATTTCGTTGTTATTTTCAAAGGAAGCCCGAACTGCCATGATTTCGTCTTTACAGTATTGTTCTCACTACGGACACAAGAAGAAAAATAAACATTTCCCAAATCATGTTAATCAAAACCTTTGAACACTATAGGTATAGATTTGCTCGGTTTCAGTAATAACCAAAGCTGCTGCCTCACCTCACAACTTTGATGATAATGAGTTGACAGGTCCCTGAATCAACTAACTGCAACCCACCGCTTACTCCGACCAAACACGTGGCCGACTCGAGACGCCTGACACTTCTTCCGGGTTCTACACAAAGGCTGCCGGGTTGGTAACCAGTAGAAACCACCCTGACGGAAGTAAATGGCTCGAAGTTGCGGCAGCCATTTTTATTAGGGGCAAGAGTACTTTCACTAACATAAGCGCAGTGCGTATAAAACTATATGTTCTAATTACAAATCATATATAACTTCAAGGTGTAATACAAAATATGGTTAAACTAGGGATACAGGTTAGGATGGTGAGCCTATATTATTCAACCAGCTTATGTATCCAGGTTATTTACCCACATACAGTGGTGTACCCTGGTTTTGTGCTGCCCTAGGCAGGACAAAACTCAGATCCCCCGCCAGCCCCACGCAACCCTTCCCCCGCCCCGCCTTCTAAATACACACACACATTCACTGACAGATACAAATACACACGCTAACAGACACACACACTCACTAACAGACACACACACACACACACTCACTCTAACAGACACACACACACACACACTCACTAACAGACACACACACTCACTCTAACAGACACACTCACACTCACTCTAACAGACACACACACACACTTACAGACACACACACACACACACTAACAGACACACACAGTCAGACACACACATACACACAGTCAGACACACACACACTAACAGACACAAACTGTCAGACACACACACACACACACACACACAAACAGACACACAGTCAGACACACACACTAACAGACACATACACACAGTCAGACACACACATACACACTAACAGACACAAACTGTCAGACACACACACACACACTAACAGACACACACTAACTCACTAGCAGACACACACTAGCAGACACACACACAGTCACACACACACACACACTAACAAACACACACACATTAACAGACACACTAACAAACACACACACACACACTCACATTAACACATTTATTTTTTATTTTTTTATTTACCCCCCTCCCCCTCCTTACCTTTGGGAATGCTGGGGGGGGTGAGGGGGTTCTCTATCTCCTTGGTGGTCCAGTGGCTGCGGGCGGCGCTGGGCTGTGTGGGCGGCTGGCGAGGGAGCTCTTCCTCTGAGCTGTCCACTCAGCTCCCTCGCGCGCCGCAGAGTGAGGCTGGGAGCCGGGTTGATGACATCATATTCCGGCTCTCAGCCTCACTCTGCAGCGCGCAAGGGAGCTGAGCGGACAGCTCAGAAGAAGAGCTCCCTCGCCAGCCGCCCGCCCAGCGCCGCCCGCCCACCCACTCGGCATGTCTGTTAGCCGCAAGGCTAACAAGGCATTTGCCCTGGGCATTTGGAGGCGGCGTTTTTGACGCCCCCTGAAAATTGCCGCCCAAGGCCTTGTTTGCCTCGCGGCTAAAACGCGCCTTCCCACATACTTATCCACTAAGCCTTTTCGTCACCCAGCTTCGTAATGCAGTCGGTTTATTTGGCTTCCTATTTCCATAAACTCTTATTCTTAAAGGGACACTATAGTCAACAGAGCAACTATAGCTTAAACGGATACTGTAGACACACAGACCACTTTAGCTCATTGAAGTGGTCTGGGTGCTGTGTCCCTTTTGCACCTAGTGCTACAATGTAAAACATTGCAGTTCCAGAGACTTTTGGTCTGTTATCTGACATCCAGCGTCGGATTTTCCCCAAAGGAAAGCATTGATTCAATGGGGAGGTCTAATGTGCAAGCACATTAGACCCTGCTCATCTCGGGACGGAGGAGGTGGCGGAGTTTCGACCCAGCGCCGAGGGACATCGACGCTGGAATAAGGTAAGTAAATAAAGGGTTTTTATTTATCGGGGACGGGGGGGTAGGGGGGCGAGAGGGAGGGGGGAGGCAGAGGGATCGGTAGTGCCAAGAATACAGCTTTGTATTCCTGGCACTACAGTATCCCTTTAATGTAGTTATTCTGTTTTTTTTTTTTACAGAAAATTACTGTAATTTGCTATAAAATCTAAATAAGTGTGATAAATTAATACATTTTATTTTCCAAGTTCTGTATATCATTTATTACTGTGGGTGACTGTGACAGGGTGAGTACAGGGGCAACTGACAGGGTAAGTGCGACAGGGCAAGGTGGGTGTAAGAGACAGGGTTGGAAAGTGAGTGTGACAGAATGAGGGGTAAATGTGACATGTTTGCGTGGGTCCAAGTAACAGGATAAGTGTGGCAGGGTTGGAGGTGAGTGTTACAGGATGAGGTGAGGTAAGTGTGACATGATTAAGGGTAAATGTGACAGTTTGAGTGTGGAATGGTTGGGGGTTTGAGTGTCACAGGGTTGGGGTGAATGTGGCATTGTTGGTAGAGGTAGTTGGACAGGGCAAAGGGGAGGTGAGTGTGACAGGGTTGGGTGTGAGTGTGACAGAATTAGAGGTGTTAATGTAATAAGGTCAGTATGGCATGGTTGGTGTGGTGAGTGTGACAGAGCTGGTTGTAAGTGTGACAGGGCAAGGAGAGGTGAGTGTAACATGATCAGGGCGAGTTAAGGTAACAGGGTTAATGTGGCATGGTTGGGGGATTTAGTGTGACAGGATTGGAGGGGTTAATGTGATAGGGTTAGTGTGGCAAGGTGAAGGGGGGTGAGTTGGTAAGTGTTGTGGAGAATGAGTGTGACAGGGTTGGGGGTTAATGTGATAGGGTAAGTCGGCTTCTTTGGTGATCTTCCCCTGTATAGCACCTGGTCCTATGCTCAGGTTTTTGAATTTTTATGCCTTGTTTACTCACCACTTTTTCTTTTTTTTTTTTCAAATGCTTGGACCAATACAGCATACATGAGGACTGCTGTTCTAGTATCATGCCATATGTATTTTCTTTTTTGACTTCAGTAAATGTGCATTTTTTTCCTATGATTTCTTCCTGATGTATTTTTGGGGATTCCCTAAGAGTGCTGATTAACAAACTTGCCCTGTGTGAAGTATCATTTGATTACTGTCAGGATTTCAGCACCGAGAAGGTAACGCTGTTATTGCACCTATTGAACTTCTATAAGTATGATGAAAACCCGTATATCCATGCTTATTTAATTTTGGAGTTCCGGCCACATGTTTTTTGTGAGTGATCGATTTTCTTACTTTTCTGCCTTTTTTCTATCAAATTACTCTATGGTCTGCACCTCTGCAACCAGGCTGTGTTGGGCAGACTGTGTGAAGGGGCCCTGCACCCAGCGGTACACAGAGCAAGCCCTCTTGGTGTCGTGCCCTCGGTCATGTATATATGTATTACTGTCGGGATCACAATTCGGGATTATTCTAACCTTAGTGACCGAATAATCTAAATTTTAAGGACACATGACATGTGTGGCATGTCATGATTCCCTTTTATTCCAGAAGTTTGGTCCTCAAGGGGTTAAAGACAGGAGGCGAATATTTGTTTTACTTTCTTTACTGTAACTCCCAGCAGCAAAGAAACAGTTAACAGTAAGTAAAAAAATTTAACCAATCAGAGTGTACAATAGAGTATGTCCAGTCATCAGGCTCCTCCCAATTCCTCTTTCTTGATGCAGCCGACAGCCGCAGAGTCAACCATGTAAACGTAAACGGTGGAACAATGAAGAGTTCAAAATGTAGTCAACCAGGTAAACGATGTGGGAACGTAGGTTATTCCTCGAGATGGTAGTGAAGGGTTTTCACAGTAGGAAAAAGGAGAGAGAGAGGTCGTGAAAGTATGGTTTCTTGGATAAGAGAAAAACAATAATTACTTTAGCTGATATGTTTCTAACCAAGGTGTACAACAATATTCTGACAAGTCTCAAGTTATGAGTTAATGTGTGTAGTATCCGTAAAGGTAGTTGCAAGGAGAGGCCTGAAACATAGATTATAAAATATTGGTTTAGTCCATAGAGGTGTTGTGGAATATCTACCTAGTTGGGTTGGGTGCGTGTATTAGCGGGCGGGAAAATATTCGCCTCCTGTCTTTAATAAAATTTAGATTATTCGGTCACTAAGGTTCGAATAATCCCGAATTTTATGCAAGACAGGAGGCTTCATATTTGCTGTTTTAAAGCGATGATATAATGGAATTAGATACATGAGGAGATTGTCTAAAATAGAAGGTTCTGAAGGTGGATTCTCTGGGAGCCAGCTGAAGAATGCGTCCATCAGGCGAGATGTAAACAGGTCCAGGTTGAATGGCCCTCTCAGGACCTGTAGATGGTGAAAAATCTGTGGGTCCAGCTTCCAGTCGCTGGAATCCCTCCAGTGGCGGGAGAACCAATCTGCGACGAGATTGTTGGAGCCCAGGAGATATTCCGCACGAAGGGAGATATTCCTGTCCAGGCAGAATTGGTATAATTCCTTTGTCAGATCTGATAGCATTTTTGATCGTGAGCCACCTAGGGGGTTCACGTATCGTACTGCTGAGACATTGTCCATCCTCAGGACAAGACTGCAGTTGTAGGCTTCCTTGGCAAAACTACGGATCGCGAAAGAACCAGCAATTCATTCGAGGCAATTGGTGTGAAGAGTCTGTTCTGATGGGGACCAGAGGCCTCCGGTAGAACGTTCCGAGCAGGTGGCACCCCATCCGAGGAGGCTGGCGTCTGATTCCAGAATGAAATCGGGTTGTCGGCCGAAGATAGCCCTTCCATTCCATGCTTCCATATGTTGAAGCCACCAGTGGAGTTCCAGTTGGACTTCGTCTGTGAGGAAAATCTGTTGTTCGTAAGATGTTGAACGATGTAAGTAGTGTGTTTTCAAACGTTGCATTGCCCGATAGTGTAGTGGGGCTGGAAATATTGCTTGGATTGAGGCGGAGAGTAATCCGATTGTGCGGGCTAAATCCTTGAGTCGGAGATATGGTGAAGCCAGCAATCTCTGGATGTCCTTTTTTTATGGTTTTGATTTTCGTAGCAGGGAGTTGTAGAACTGCCTGAATCGAATCTATCTGAAATCCCTGAAACTGTATCGTCTAGGACGGAGTTAGAGATGACTTTTGCAGGTTGATGACAAAACCCAAATTCTGGAGGAGAGCCGAAGTCATATCTGTATGGAGACATAGACTCTCCTCGTCTTGAGCCATGAGGAGGATATCGTCCAA